TCAGGTGGGATATATTCAAGGTCATATTTTGGCTCTTGGGGACTTGTTTTCATTTTCTTCAGTTTCAGTTTGAATTTGCATATGAGCAATTGATGGTCTGTTCCAAAGTTTGCCCCTGGCCTTGTTTTCATTGATGATATCCATAAAGGAGTCAAACACATTAACCTTTAAAACACTGAAGTTCAATCTTTCTCTCCACCTGGGACTAATCCCATTCATATCTTGGGCCTCTGGCAGAGTAGATTCCAGTAGATCATGGCCACAGATTATTGGCTTCTCCTGCTTATTAGTATAAAATAGACATACATGTGTAATAGGAATATTGGAAATTATGATTAAGGAAACTTTGTAAGCTGGCCTTCGACCTATACTTGATTGGATTTGCTAAAAGGGGAGTTAGAAATTGTGCCAAAAAAGCAAAAGATATATATAGGCTTCTCGGCTTAAGCCTTTGTAGAACTTTAAGGTGGAATCTTGACCTCCACCTAGAAGTTGAATTGAGACATTTGTGTTTGAAAAAACATGCATAGCAGCCCAGAACTGTTGAAAGAACAGATTTATGATCCAAAGAAAGCAGGGGGGAAAAAACAACAGTTTGATATTGAGTTTCAAAGGCTTCAAGGTGAGGAAAGTTGGCCCATCCAAGAAAACCCCCTTCTAGGACTGAAAGTTGAAGGGAACCAGCAGTGAGCAATAAGCTTGCTGATGATCACCTGGGTCTACTTGTGCGTGGAATTGGGGGGAATGTTCTATTGGCGCCCGTTGTCCTTGACAGGAAGTAAGAGGAAGGCTCACTGTTTGAAGTTCAGGGAGGTGTGTTTGAACTCCCAAGCTTGCAGCTGGTACTCATGTGACCTAGCTTGGATGGCTCAGGTTGCTGAGCTGACTAGAACCTGATCAGATGATATGAAGTTGGTTGATACTCTGAGAAGCATCAGCTGCTACAATTTGACAGACTGGACTTTTGCTTATGGATGCAGTTCATCAAAATTCCAGTCAGAATGGAAGTCTCTTCAGATCAAAGACCAAGCATGTCTTCCCAATGTACTGGCTTGGTAGGGATGAGCAGTTCAGACATTGCTATCCTGGTGTGGCTGGCGCTGAGGGTTAATGCGCTGGACTGCAAAGTCAGTTTCAACTGCAAGATTGGTGGTTCAAGCTCACCAGCTGCTCCTAGGAAACCCTAGGAAACAAGGTCGTTAGGGGTCAGAATCGACTCGATGGCACTTAACAATTGCTATAAAGGCATGAAGTGCCTGGCTTAACAAAATTTTATAGGTGTGCTTAGTTTTAGAATGAAGAATCAAGGGGAAATCCCCACTGACTAGTTTTCCTCTTTTCCAGGGGTTCTGGAATGATGCTGATAAGATTTTATTGTTTCAATTTTGCTAGTCGTATTGATTGTGATTGTCAAAACTGTAATTGTAGAAGATATGTAGCTAAAAGGAGGAAGTTGTTGTTGTTAAGTGCCGTTGAGTCAGTTCTGACCCATAGCAACCCTGTATTGGGTTTCGGAGGAGCAGCTGGTGAGCTTGAACCGCTAACCTTGCAGTTCAAACGGCTTTGCAAAAGGAGGGAGTAGTTATCCTTTATTTCAGGAACAGATAATCCCAGGACCGTTTAGAAGGAATGTAGACAACCTCACTCTCACTAACAGGAGTGCAGATTGGATGCAAGGAGCTCTATTCTGTCCTATATGTAATCTATACACCGAGGTTATATAACCCTTTTGGCTTCCCCATAATATATAGAAACCGAGAGATCAAGCGAGGCAGCTGGGCGAGGCAGAGTCCCCAACCCTCTAGGATAGCAGGGCTGAGAAAGTGGCGTTTATTGAGGGCGCTGAGAGCGCAGTTGCTGAAGGTGGTGGTGGATAGTGCTGGGGACCCCAGCTCTACACTTGTGTCTTCCTCTGCTGGGAGGAGTGTCCTGGGCATAGGCACTCCCAGGCCCCCTCCTCTCTGCTCCGGATCAAGCAGTGGGCAGTGTGGGAGCCAGCAGGGCCCACGGACAAGATCCCTGCACAACTGTGCTCAGGTAAGTCCTGGTGTTGGGAGAGCAGACACCGCTGGAGAAGGGCGAAGGAATGGCAGGACGTCCCCCCAGACCCTCAGCTGGGTGGCAGACATGCCTCAAGAGTGGAGGTATCCAGCCCCGCCCCACCCCATAGGAGGGCAGGCTGGTGGGACCCCGAGTCAATTTATAAGCAGCGGCCTCAATCTACAGATCAGAAAGCAGCCCCCCAACCCCCCACCCCGCCCCAGCCATACAAATCGCCCTCTGACCCAGCAGAGCCCAACTTCCCACAGGTGGCCTGGGCACCAGAGGCTCACACACTGTTTATTACCTGACCGTACCCACCCCCCTTCAAGCCGGAGCAGGTCGCGCACCTACACGTTTGCGTTTATAGCCGTTTCACAGGGAACCCCAGGACCACATGGCCCAGGTCCCACGCCCACCAATTTTAGTTCAGCGCAGGACACACGCCTGCGGTTCTGAACTGACGCCCAGCCTGCGAAGCAGCAGCCGGGGGCTGGGGGCTGAGGTCAGATGCAGTCCCACTGGTACCTGGTTCAGAACCAGGAGGCTGACTGGATGGTCGCAGCCATGTGGCCGGTCTCCAATCCTTTGAGAACCCCAAGAGCTTCTTCTCAGAGTCTGAACCCTGGCTCAGAAGCTTGCAGTCCCCAGGTGGGTGGCAGCCATCGAGTGTCCTCACAGCTTCCGGTGCTCGAGACTTTGGTTACAATGCACTCCCTGGAAATGGCGGGGCTGCCCTGTGGGAAAGTCACCTCGTTGTCTGTCACGGCCCTGGCCACCTTGGGGCAGGCAGGAAGCACTGGGGCCACTGAGCCCTTGCACGCATGAGTCCCCTGGGACGGGTAAGGCTGGGGGGATATGCTGGCATGTCTTGTAGCCAGAACTTCGCTCAGAGCAGGAAGCAGACATCCCCACATGACAAAGTTTGGGGATCCCACAAGCAGGTCAGCTAACAATGTCACCCAGTGGCCAGCCTTCCACTCCTGGACTCTCCCACGCCCATGAAAGTGACAGCTCCTTACCACTGAGACCCCTGGAGATCATTTATTCTGGACCCATTGCCACCGCCACTCCCACCCCACCCCTGACAACCAACACACTGGACCCACCAGCACTATCCAGACGTCACTGTCTCCCAGCCCACTGGGCAAAACATAAGATAGTATTTACAAAAGCACAAGGAAAGTTCTATTGCAAGAAAAGGAAACAAATTAGACCAATGAAATCCCTGCAGACCCTCACGCTGCAGCAGGCAGAAAATCAAACCGTCAGGCTTCGTGACCACGCAGTACCACTAAGGGCCGACCAGAACTGACCCCCTTAAGTCCTTGGGTCCTTATGGGTCAGGAACGTGGGCGGGGCAGCTAGTGGTGACTCACTTAGGAACCTGAGGCACTTGGTCACGCACCTGCACGAAGTCACCAAGAAGACTGCTGCTCTGCTCCCTATCAGAAGGAGGCCCAGGCATCAGGCCGAGGAGGGCCGGCCCTTGCGGGGCACGGGTCCTGGGGGTGGAGGGCGGCCGCTCTGGGCCGTGGCGGCACCCCGTGTGTGGATCTGCATGTGCACCGTCAGGTGGTGGTTACGGTTGAAGGTGCGGCCACACTGCGGGCAGTGGTAGGGCCGCTCGCCCGTGTGGATGCGCTGGTGGCGGAAGAGGTCGGAGGGCTGGCGGAAGGCCTTGCCACAGTAAGGGCAGGCCGGCGAGCCCTGGCTGTGGCCGGTGTGCAGCCGCTGGTGCAGCATCAGACTCTTGCGCCGCTGGAAGGCGCGCAGGCACTCGCTGCAGTGGTACACCTTGGCCGCTGCGGTCCCCAGGCTCTGGCCCGCAGGCTCAGCGGGCAGCCAGCAGATGACCGGACCGGAGGCCACCACCTCGCCGGGCTCCAGGGCGGGCTGGGTGTCGCCCCAGTCGGGGGACGGGCTGCGGACCACAGCGGAGTCCTCTTCCGCGTGAGTCCGCTGATGGATGGTCAGGTTGATCTTCAGGCGGAAGCTCTGCCCACAGTCAGGGCAAGAGAAGGCCCGCTGCCGACGGCGAGGGAGGACACGCCGTGGCTCCCCGGAGGCCCGTGGCCTATCCCTCGGCACCGTCTCACTGTGATGCCGGCTGCGGCCCCCAGTTCTGTCCCGGGACCCTTTGGGGACTCCACACTTGGTCCAGCCTGGTGACTCTGACGGGAAACACTGCTCCGGCGTCAGATCGTCCTCGGATTGGGCTTCCGTCTTGATGATCACGTGACCGTCATCTGGCGAAAGATGCCATGATCCCTCGTGTATGCGAGGGTCCCCAGCAACACCGTGTGACCACCTGCACCAGGCTCTCGGTACCCACTCCTGCTTCAAACTCGGGATCTCCAGAGCCTACACATGGGCGGGTCCCACTTGATACCAGACCTTCAGCTAAGAGCTCATTCAGGTGGTCTTTCTGGAAGGAGACCACCTGTAAAGCTAGGGACCAGGCAACTACAGAGGCCTGGGATCAGACAGCGTGAGCAAATGGAGGTGGAGGACCCCAAGGGGACAACAATACTGTCAAGTGTCCTGGACAATGAGGTACTGACCAGTTCTAATGATTAGAGTAGTGAGTCTGTTGGGTCAGGGGTCACCCAGGAAAGCCTTGTAGTTGGGTGGGGGTGGGCTGTGTTCACCCACAACCTTGGTAAACAAACACCATAGTACCTACAGCTAGGAAGGGGTCCCATTGGGAACACTGCGCAATCTCTTGGAAGCCTTTTTGAGGAGCCCCAGCCCCCCAGTCCCCTCCTCTCTGCTTTCCAGGCCCCCAACATCCTGCTTTGTGCTCGCCCAGCCCCCAGCCCCCTGCTCTCTCTGCAGCCCCACCTGGGAAATTGTCTGCAATCTACTCTGCAGTTGACTCTGTGCCCTGTGCCCAGCGCTCTGTGAGCAACTTGCCAGGCCTGTGCCCATGGAAGGGACTGACATCAGGGGCTGGGCTACTGTGAAGAGGAAGCCATGTGATGCCCGGCTGCCGGGTCTCCGCACCACTGACCCAGGAGCCCTCACGTACAACTCATGGACCATTTTTACATTGTCCTGTAGCTACCGAACCACCAGGGTGTGTGGGTAACCCTCGAGTGCCTTTGAGAAGACACAGTGGTGTTCTCAAGCTTGGGGGTCTAGTCTTTGCGTCCAGGCGGCAGCAGAACTGCCCAGGGTAGAAACCCTGTCCAGGGGTCAGCCTGCTTTGCCAAGAGCACACAGGCCCAGACCTTCCAACTGTGTGATTTGGGGGTGAGGTGAGGCCGACAAGAGGAGAGACCCCATCTTCTCAGCAGCACCTTTCCAGCCAAGAGCAGGGTGGGGTGGGCAAGTCCCATTTCGACCCCTGACCCCCCAGGCCTGGGGCCCACTCTACTCCCTTGAGGGCTTTGGAAGCCCATGTGGGTGTACAATGGGGCAGCCCCTCCACTCACCTGGCCCCAAGTTGGGCATGGTCTCCCCAGGAAAGGAAGTGTCCGGCTCCTCACTATAATCTTCCTCCTGACTGATCGAGGACGAGACGAGGGTGCAGGCTGAGGGCTCTGTGAGAGAGAGTCCTGACAGGCCTTTCCTGGAGTGGGTCTGTCCCTCCCTAGCAGACCCTGCCAAAGAAAGGGAGGCCCTCAGCACCTGACTGTCACCCTCACAGCTCAGCACGGTGACAAGGTCTGGAGTACATGTGGCCCATATGTACTCCCGGCTGGGTCAGGAGATTCCTACAAATGTGACATCCCTCCATAAACAAGTGGAGGCGTCACCAGATAACCTGGGCAGGCCAGCCAGCCAGCCAAAGGGACAGGGGAGCAGCAGAGCTGAGGCACAAGAGTCCTGGGCTTGAGCGAGAAGACCAGGGTTCTGGGGTAGGCCCCATTTTTGTGTAAGAGGGACAGAAAATAAGACAAGGAGGACAGAAGCCAGAGTCTCTGGTAAGTCTTCAGAAACCATCCTAAGATACCATGCCAGACATCTGACCTGTGACTTATCATACAACCGGAGGCACGTCCCCACAATGGCCAGACTGGGGTGCCCAGCCCTGGATGTGCCGGAGGAGCCCACACCGAAGTGTCCTGCCCCAGGTCTCCCAGCCCCTCCCACTCAGTGGCACAGCCTATCTGTTTCCAACGAGGGATGCCCCGTGACACTCCCCTTCCCCATCCTGCTGTCTCCACTCACCGGTGCCCGATGCAGTAGGTATCACTCTTCTGTCTGAGGCTTGCTGGTGCCCAGCTGTCTGTGCTGCTCCGGGCTCCGGGTCCCGGGCCAGGCTGCTGGGGCTAGGTACATGCTCTGGGTCAGAAGGGAGACCTGGGGATGCAGATAAGGGATGGTGAGGACCACACGGAAGTCGGGGGAGTCTCACCACAACACCCTCTGGGGACAACTAGAGGCAGAGTCCCAGGGCCAAGGGGAATCAGACCAGGCACAGAGACCAGCCAGGAATGGCACTCTGGCCTGAAACTTTCTGTCCAAGAGACACTGGGCAAGTCACAACACAGCACAGACTCCGGACTCAGAACACCCAACAACGGCTCCCAAACCCAGCTCCTCTACCAGCTTGGTCGGATGGATTCTGATCAGAGTTCTGGGTGGGGTCTAGGAAGTATGTATTTTCAAAAATCACCGTGATAGTTCACAGACTAAGAAATGAAAATGGCTTTAAACATATCAAAAGACAGCCAACCACACTCAGAATGGGAGAATGTCATAGAAACCACACAAGTCCGTCTCTTCCCTTCTTAAGCTGAAAGCCCACAATTTGACAGCATTCTGGTGGCACTGCTGATGGACATACAAAAGGATACAAGCGCTAGGGAGGGGAACTTGGTGATTATTTTGCAAAATGATATAGTCACTTACCTGTTGGTCTAGGAATTCCAATGTTAGGAATCTACTCCAAAGACATACTAGCAAAAACACGAAGTGACTTATGTACAAACTAGTCACAGCAGCATTATTTATAGCAGCAAAGTACTTGGAATGGCCCCAATGTCCAGCAATGGGGACTGGGTAGACAAACAACAGTGTGTCTCAGAAATGCCATACAGGGTCACTGAGTGAGAACCATGTGGCTGGCACACAATAACAGCATTAAAGGCATCAAGGATGGAAATGATGTCTATGACTGTATCCTGCTAAAGAATTTTGATTTTGTAAACATAAAGTATCTTACATATTCAAAACACTAAATTAGAAAGAAAAAATTGACATCTCTAAAGATTTAAAAATAAACTGAAGCAAGTGAACTTAACTGCATACCATGGTGGTGACGGTAATCATTTCAAGTGACTTTAAAAGGTATTATTTTGTCTGTAAGTGCTGAGTGAAATATAACTTACTGAAATATGAGGGGACTTCAAAAAGTTTGTCAAAATTGGAATTAAAAGATAATAGAGATCTCAGACAAGATGGCAGACTAGGAAGACATACCACAGAGACCCTCCACAACAAAGGTGTTGTTAAGTGCCATCGAGTCAGTTCTAACTCATAGCGACCCTGTATAGGGTTTCCAAGGAGCAGCTAGTGAGTTTGAACTGCCAACCTTGTGATTCAAACCGACTTTGCAGTCCAGTGTTTTTCCCCACAGCACCACACTAGGACTCCATATTGGAGGCCAAATGAAACAGACACAGTGGATAATCCTCTTGGACTCAGGCAAACTCAGAGAGTCTCTAAGCCAGAGGAAGACCAGCAGGAAGCCTCGTAATCAGCCCCCCTGCCCCCCACCCCTGGTTCTTACAGACACTGAACCTAGCAACCTGAAGGACCTCCACGGACTACTTCCAGATTGGGTGCCTTGAACACAAACAACGCGTTGGCCTACAGGAACGCCGTATTGGGCTGGGATCTCAGCCTTCACATCCCTCTTCCAACCACCTCATGACTTCCTCGGTTGACAGGGTTTTCGCCGCTCTGGGTCCAACAACTGCACTCGTTCTTTATTTATTTTTTCTTCTTCCTCTCTTTCCCTTCCTTTTTTTAAAGCTTTTATTGTACATTGTCTAATAGTTTACATGAGAGAACATTCGTTTTGCACTCATCCTATCGCATTTTGTATTATTGCAATAATTGCAATCCCCTCCATGCATCACCGTTCAACAGGATTTGCTTCTATTCCCTGGTTTTGTTTTTGCTGTACACAAAAACACTCAGGAATATAAATAATCATTTAAACAACCAAAGGGCACATTCTGCAAGCCTGCCTCCTGGCCCTTCCCTTACTTTTTATCCTTTCTACAGCCACTTGTTTTTTTTCTTTTCTTTTTTTGCTCATTTCCACTCTCCTGTTTTCCTCTTAATTTTTCTTTACAACTCTCTGGTCTCTTTCTCTTTCTCATCTTCCTTCTTTCTTTTTAAGTTTTTTTTTCTCTCTCTCTCTCTCTTTTCTTATTTTTCTCTTATACAGCTTAATTTTCCTGTTTCTCTTTTCTCTTTTTAGTTATGTTCTTTGTTTCCTGTTGCTGATGGTTTTTGTGTCTTTTTCTCTCCTTTATTATATTCTGTTTTCACTGTTGTTTGCTTGTTCTGTTTTGTTTTCCTGTGTGTGGGATTGTGCCCAAACAGCTCAGCCATAAGGGTATTCTCTGCAGCTCCACCCACTGGGCCAGAGCCAACACCAGCACTGAAACCACCTGATCAATGATAGAGAGTAGCCAACAGCAGCCAGACCCACTGCAAGGGCAAAAACACATAACAATGCACACACTTCCATTCTCTAATCACATCCAGCAAGATACAGCTGGTGAGAACCTAAGACTACACCAACATACCATCATCAATTAAACACAAATACAATGACACCACAATGCCTTGGAGACAATTTTAGCTCACACAAAGAAACCTGAGAGAATGACTCTAACAAATGATCAAGATGCAAAGCCAAAAAAGGTAATGGAACTACCTGAGAAATTTTCAAAAGATGATACTTAGTTACATCCAATAGATTGAGAGGCAGATGAAGGAAAACAATATAGGAAAAGAAAACCTTCGAAGAATTCAGGCAAATACTACAAGAACAAACAGACAAAATGAATGCAAATTTTAAAACAATACAAAACCTGCAACTAGAAATCCAGAAGCTGAAGACTAATCTTTCAGAAACAAACAACACAGTGAACAGGCAAAGAGTAGATTCGTATCAATGGTGGGCCGAATTATTAAGCTTAAAGATAAATCTCTTTATACTTGTAAGGAAGAAGAAGAATCAGAAACTAACAGCACAGTGAAAGGACAAAGGAGTAGATTCGTATCAATGGAGGGCCAAATTAGTGAGCTTAAAGATTGTTGTTGTTGTTGTCAGGTGCCATCGAGTCGGAACCGACT